CCTGCAAAGTTCTGAAAATATTTCAGGAGCTGCAGGTCTGACCCATGCCACATTGCAGAGACTGTAACAAGTTGTCATGGCTTCTGGTTTGCCTGAAGTATGGTTCAAGTTACCTGGCGCCCATGTGAAGCCCACCACATAGACACGTGTGGCCTCAAGGACATGTTACGTAGCGCACATTGGCCTTGTGCTGACTGAAGGCTGTTAGCATGTGATATCTTCATATATTAAGCAGGTGAACATGACCTTTGTAGGATTGAAAATTAGTAACTTTCAGACAAATTCATGGCAGGCTCTGCTGCACAGCTTCTCAAATGTCTCCACCTATGCCTTCCTCATTTGAATTGCCATTGCTGTCCTACCACAGGCACCCACTACCTCACCACAGCTCCCTATCTTCCTGTTCCACCCCACAATCTCATCCTTTTAGTTTTTTCCCTGATTTGGCTTAAGCTGATGTACCCCCTCCTATTGTCGACATCTGCTGCTGTCTTCTCTGCGGGCTGCTGATGGCCATCCTGTTGTGTTTCTTCCACAACTGACAGTCCCAGCCCCTCGGGCAGGGGTCCCGGAAGCAGAAAGCAAACAAACATGCCAACATCAAAGCAGACCCTCGGCAATATGCCCCCACCCCCAGCTTCCCGTTTCCATCTGCTGACAATGAACTGAGCTTCCTCCAGGGAAAGCAAGGGCTTCTGAGCTTTAGCCCATGTGGCTGGGTAGCTGTGCTTTCTGAGCCCCTGTTTTTTCTTCCTTCCTTTCTTCTCCAGGGAAACAGAAGGAGAAGAAAAGATGGAGACATTTTGTTGGAAAACCAGGGCTGAGACTTTGCAGCCATGGCCTGAGTCCCACTGCCAAATGTGAGTTTTAAACACTGTATGCCAGCCCAATAAAAGACCTAAAACCATGAACCTGGAGGCAAGTCAACACTAGGCCATTCAATCAAAAATCACAGCACTTAAAATTCCTACTCGGCTGCTAATTGTGGTGATGTGGGGCACCACAGTCACAGCCTCATGAAATGTTGCTGCCTAGCAGCCTACAGCTGCGCACCCCCAGGACAACTGCAGACCTAACAGCTCCAAGAGGCCCCTGACCCACCTCCTGGTCTGGCCTGACTGAGAGCTAGGAAATATGTTTTGCTCTAGGCTAGGGAATTCAACACACCCAGGAACATTTCCAGATGCTGTGGCTAACCAACACAGAGTAGCCTATAGCTCATGTTGAAGCTCATAAACTTTCTAGGATCCAAGGCCCTGTGGAGGTAGGAAAACTGCATGTTGGGAATGGCCCTTCGGATTCTCACATTCCTGAGCTATGGGTAGGGGTATTTCTGGGCACCACTAGTCTGCCCAAGCCACGCCTGTGGTAGAAATTGTTTTAACAGCTTAACTGTCCACCTAGTTGACTAGGAGCATTTCACAGTTTGTTTCATTTATTAATGCAGAAGTGATGAATGCATTCCAGACCCCAGGTTGCCTGTTGGCCTTGGCTTGGTACCCACCCAGGAATTTATCAAGCAAAGCATCCAGCCCAAACAGATGTTCTTGTCTTTGCTAATTTCTTTTTAATAGCATAAACTTGTTTTATATAAGAATGTCATGTATGTTCACAGTGTTGTATGAGTACATCTGCAGATGTGAAAGAATTTGAATTCTAATTTCCCAGCCCCCAGGACAAGTCCTTTTTCAGGTTAAGTGGGAATTTTGATGGCTGGTAGAGCTGATATTTACAGCTCTTGGAAAAAACATTTTACTGCACAGAAAAGAAATATTGATTAACACAATAGAAAAGGACAACAGAGGAGAAAGCAAAAGAATATGATGGGAAATTCCCGTGTCCTTCTTCCTGGGGCTCATATAATTTTTATATTTTGCTTTAAGCAACAGCCACTGTAAACACTGAGCTGTTATATAAAATAAAAGAGCAACCTGACTACATCATACCATACTTTACAGGAAAAGGTGTAAAAAATGGCTGGGATTTCCAAGAGAGCAGAGACATTCCCATGCAGCTTTCAGGATGCTCCTGCATGCTGGAATTTTAAATATCCTACCCAAAGCATCTGATAGGCATGCACCTACTGTGCATGGTGTCATTAAGTTTTGAGCCCACTGGGAATTATCAGAGTCTATTCAAATTCTGTCGGAAGATGCTTCTGATTTAATTTATATTATATTGCTATAGTCCTGGTTAAGTGCTCAGATATTCAGCATTACAACACAGTAGGTCTCTGATGGATCTAGCCCTCAACCCATAATAGAAATTAGGGCCAGATTCTGCTCTCATTTAATTTTGGAATAGCAGCAGTTGCTTCTTATTTAATGAGATTATATACTGGCCTTCTGTATTTTCATGGCTCTACTGTACTGCATATTGTAATTTTCACTCATTAAGTTTAAATAAACATCAACTTAATGCTTAGCAAACCAGTTCTAAGGGAATAGCATTGATTTGCAACCCAGCTTGTGGCTTTAATCTCTATGTACTTGGGACCTCACCAAGCCTAGAAGGTTACAGTTAAATATAAAGAAAGAAAAAATTTAAACAGCGCCAAAATGGGAGCTCCTATAAAAAAGCTCCCATAAAATATTCTATATTTTAGTATTAGCTTTTCCCTCTCAAATAAATGAATAAACCTGCTCCTTCAGTCTGCTAAGTTTAAATGATACAGCACACTGTACTTTTAAGGCAGATTTTCTGAGATCACGAGATAAAAACCTGTCTGTTGCCCCTTGGAACAGGAAAATGCAACAACGTTTAGGTGGCAAACAGTAGTGTTTAGGTGGCAATCTCAGACAGGAACAAAGGAGAGAGAAATCAGAGGTGACTTTTCTCTCCTTAGTTCTCCACCTTTAATTTTTTCATAGGTCAGCCTCAGTCAGTGGTATAGTGAGCACCACTTGAGAGTTTCAAATCCCAAAGGGCTAATATCAGGCCTACACCAATTTCAATATTTTTGGCTGGTGTTGCTTCTTATAGACAGGCTGAAATCTCCCATGGAGTAACAAGACAAAATGGGATCAACGCAGCCCAACATAACTGAAGGCCAAATGTAAGTCAGACAGAACAGGAACTTTTGTCTGGACTTTCTACCTCACAGGCTATACTTCACCCCCAGTGCTGATAGCCATAGGGCAGGATTACTTTCTTGCTTCTTCATTTTTTAATTGATCTTGACATCATTCTACAGGTTTTGGTTTAAACCCATTGCAGAAGGAACAAAAATAGGCCCTCAAAAAAATCAACAACTTTTTCTTTCTGAAGCAGGATCCTTGTTACCAGGGTAGCTTCCAGAAATGGGTTTCTGAACACGATATAAACCTATGCAATGTGTGTGAACAAGAATTGTAGCTACAGAACAAGATGGAAGCCAGGAAAAATGTGATTTTCTTACAAATTTTCATTAAGGCTGAAAAGGGTCAGCAGTATTTCCTCTCCCCCTCCCCCATTTTTAGGTCCTTCTTATACTGATGTACTTGGTGTTGAAACTGAAGAAACAGCAAACACCCAAACCCTAGCGTGCATGTCAGTATTTTAGCTTTCAGTAAAACAATAGAAAGATAATAACTGCAATACAAGTGGAAACACACAGTCAGCAAGACCCACACAGTGGGCCATAGCCCAAACACTGTTTTTGCGCAGTTAGAATTCTCCTAAATGAGTAGCAGCGCCTATGCTCAGCCTAGCAATAAATAAACCGATTCTGCCACCTACCGGTTGTTTGAGGTGAATATAGCGAAAACCCGGTTTATAAATGCGACGCGAATGAAGCAGACTGTGCTTCAATGTATTCACAAATTTCATCAGGAAAGAAAACAAGCTACTTGGAATTGTTCTCAGCATGTCAGCAGAATTTTTTTTCGCTATATGATTAACAAAATGAAAATTTAATATCGTTTATTTCAGGTATTCCCTGATGTTTCCAGCAAAGATAAAACTGACAAAAAAAAAAAAATCAGTTTGAGTATATTAAGATATTTATGATTTTTAAAAAAAAAAATTTTCCTCTCTTACAATTTTGTGGTTCAATTGCCAAGTTCCTAAACCCCTTTTTTAAATAAAACTCTCTTCTCTCAATGTTCCCTAAGGTTTATACCCGAATTCTTGTAACTTCTGATTTATTTTTCTTTTTTTTTTTTTTCAGTTTACAAGACATAGTGCATTTTCTTTAGCAGAAGTTCCTCTGTAAAACATGGGACATCTCATGACAACACTTTCTTAGCCCACATTCAGGAGCAGTGATGCTCTTCCTTTTACTTTTAAATAAAGAGTAACTTTTCTTTCTAGATTTTGCTGTATTTTCAATTAAGATGTGGAAAGGCTGGTTGATGCTTATGCAAATTAAATGCTTCAGAAGCCACTAGAATTGCTGAGGTACCTCAAAGGCTTGTAAGAACTACACAACTTAGAAGTTTGATCCAGAAAATATCAGGCTTTTGAGTGGGAATTGTACTTGGGAAGGGAAGTCAAAGCAAACCTCAGACAGGGTCACTGATCCAATTTGGAGCAGTTTTTGCTAATCCTGCTCTCAGAACCACTTTGCAGCCTTGTTTCCTTAACATAAGAGGCTTTTACATCAGTGGCTGGAATAGTTTGGGGGATTGTTGGCAGCATACAGTAGTATTTTTGCTGATACAAGCCAACTAAGATGGCTTTTGTCCATGTTAGTTTTGGTCCCTTTAATAATCTCTTCTCATAGACACACAAAACTTGTGGGTTGAAGGTCTGAGGTTTAAACTAAAATTTACTGGAGAGTGCTTACTGAAATCAAATCATGGATATACTGTAGCAACAACTTATTTTAAGATGCTAAACTTCCAAAACCTGTGGGCACCAGTTCTGGACTTAAGATTTAACTATGATGGGTCTTTTAATGCAAAAGAGAACCTCCAGTGCCCATATAACCTATGACTCCTTTTCATGTGAAAAATAGATGGGACCACCCATCTTTCTGGCAGTGATTTTACTCCAGAGCCCACGTAAGCCTGACTGTATAAGAGGAGTGAGTGGGAGATTTAGCAGGACTCACTTGCACTGCATGAAATCCTGTGCATCATGCTTTTGCCAGAGAGATCGCCAGAGACTGCATTCTGGATAAAGCAGCAGATATTTCCCCATGATTTCCTTTTGTGTAGGACACCCTCTGAATAGAGAGGAAGGAAACAGACTCCTCAGTATCCTGCAGATGCATTCAGTGAGATGATACATTAGAGGGGTTAGAGGCAAAGATCCCTTCTCACATGTGCACTCAGATGTACATGCACTCATATATACACTGCAGATCCTGTAGGACTTAAAATGGGATGTTCTGATAGTCATTACACATGGCCTAACTAACACCTGGCCCTCAGAGGATGCAGTCTCAAAGTTTCCTCTCATCATGTATTTTATGTCTTCCCTTAACAGAGAACTTAGCACAGAATGCAAAAGCAGCAAAAGCAAACACAAAAGTTTAATAGAAACTCTAATATAGACACCAGCCATACAATTCAGGCTGAAAGTTGCCAAGGGAAAAAGAAACCACATTCTCATCAGATCTGCATCTGATGTGGATGCTCTCTGCAAGGGAAGGAGAGACACTCTTTATTGTCTTCTGTTGACTAAAGTACACTGGACAGTGACTGCTCTGATGTGCAGAACCTAGCTCTCAATATAGAAGATGATGTGTAAATATAACCAGGACTAGTTCTGTATCACACAAGTTCAGGCACCGAAAGTACACTATACTCCCCACAAGCAGATCTTGGTATGCCATCCTAGAGTACCCTATCACGTAAACAGCTGTGAATATGTCATTCTGACTTTATAGTCATATAGACTATGGACTTCAACAGGTCTGGATAAGGTAGATTCAGGCCACCTAGCCTGTTTCTACTTATTTTATTTTATTTTATTTTACTACCAGAAAAATCTAGTACATTTCCATTTTATCCTCCTCTGACTCACCCTTCTCTCAAAAAAAAAAACATGAAAGATTATAAAAATCTAACTCAGTAGTAGTGAAGAAAAGAAGATTGTATCAACTCAGGCTAGTGGAGGCAATTAATCTGACTATAACATTCATATTCTCATCAGACACAAAATAGAGAGATGTAAGGTGATATCTATTTAGCCTGCTTCATTGGTACAAAGAAAGTCAGGATCTTTCCAACACGCTGAGTCCTATCAACTAACTGCCAGCTCCTGGGGGACTAACCAGGCAATCTGCAGGTGGGACTGGATCAACTGGGATTTTCATCCCTGTTCCTAGACAAAGAGGTGAAAAAGGAGGTTACACTGATGGGACACAGAGATTGCAAAACCAGTTTACGACAGCCGTTTAGGAAATAAGCTATGCTGTTTCAATCAGTCTCCAGCACAGCTTTAACAGCAGTAACTACTAAGTCCGTCATCTGTGTTAATTTAATATGTCATTTAGCATTCCTGTCAAGGAAGAATAAAATGCAAAACAGGGATGTTGAGCTTGTTATAAGATACAGTGACACCAATATTTCTCATATGACATGATTTTTAAAGTTCTGGAACAGCCCTTGGAATGGTGTTAAAGGCAAGGAGGGTAATTTAATCTGAAGAGAACATGACAAGCAATGCATATGCACTAAGATTATAGAAAGGGGTAAACCGCAAAATCAGCTAAAAGAGAAAACTTCCTTTTTAATTCTGAACTTAAACCTAACAGTGCACATACATTATTACATTGATTTTCATAGCTGTTTCTAATTTGCCAACCAAAATTTTAACTCTGTCGTTTCAAGAGTGAATGTATTTTCTGTTTCAAATTGATGCCGTGTGAAGTGAGTTCAGGCAGCTCTAGCAAACACAAGATACATTTTTCAGTATCAATATTGATAAAGAAGACAGCCAGGGCCCTTTCTCTAGTCATGTGCCCAACTGGCAGAGTCTGTCTCCATACTACTAAATGCTTTTAGTCTCTAAACAGGTCTTGATACATGGAAATGGCTGCTGGAATTACCCATGACCCATCCCCACCACCAGCTGTCTGGGAATTGCTTGTTACCTTGACCCAAAGCCTAGACAGAGACTATTCTGGTAGTTCAAATACAGATAGTTAAATTGTTCAAGTGACTCCCTGACAGTGTTTAATTACAATAAGCTGTGTTCTCAAAATTTCCAAATCCACAAGCAGTATTACTTTTCTGAAACTTTCTGGAATCATCACTATCAAGTAAACGTTCAGGAAGCCCAGGAGTATGTTGGTTTTCTACCAGTCTCCCAGGATCAGCTTAGAGATAGGCAGATGCATCTCTTGATGGTTATTATCCCACTCCTTCTTCCAGGTGGCAGGAAGTGGAGGCACCAACCAACACTTCAGGAATCTCCCTTTTGTCAGAACATGTCTCTAGCTTTTAAACACTACAATATTCAAACAGTGATGTTTTTTCACAGACTATTTTTCACAGAAAGAGGACTCATCATCATAAGTTTGAGTGGAAATTGGTAATACTTAAAAATCCATATGAATCTGAGAAAGTTGACTGTTGAAGTCTTCTCAAGTACTAACCAAAGAACATGAAGATGGTTTTAGAAATAAGACTCATTATGTAGTCACAACAGAACTAGGAGACATTTCCTGTGATAAATATTTATGTACACGAGGAGTAGTAGCATTCCAGTCAAGCTGTCTATGTCAATGGATTTCAGCTTATTTTCAGTCACCTTGCAAGTAATAAGCTTGTGAGAGCTGCATGGCACACAAATTATCAACAGTCACATCAATGTCATGTTTGCCATGTGACCAGCTGAGGCAGGTGGCTCAGTAGAGGTAACATGAAAATGGGATTGCATTATGTGACAACACGGTCTACATATTACTCCAAAGGCATATATGGAGAAGGAGCCAAAAGCTCGAGTGCTTCCTAGAAACAAATTCAAACTTCTCAATTAATAATCTAACAACCACAGACTGGTGTCATCACACCAATGTCTATTCTTGAAAATTTCCAAGTCTTACTGGATCAGAAATGGTTGCTACCAGGTGTATTTAGCTGCTTCTTTTTAAAAGCTGGGATCAAATAAAAAGATAAAGAAATGAAGAAAAACAAGAAAGAAATGAACTGAAAATTTTTAACTCAGGGGAGGTTTTGCCTGAGTTTGGGAATGTGGTTTCATTTAGTTTGAAAGAATTTTCAGCCAAATCTAAAGAGAAGAGAGTTATATTGTTGGCATTTGCACAGGAATTTTGCATAGTATTTCGCCATAAGACAATTGTTTTTTTCATCTGGTTTACATTTGGGATTTGAGAAGGGAGGCATACAGCCTCTGCTGGTGGTGTTATATATTGTAAAATCCATATTTAGAAGCAACTTTCATCATCCTGTTTTGAGTACTTTCTGGTATACACTGTTACCTAGACAGAAACTTCAAGCTGGGGAACATTTGAAGGCTATTTCACCAATGTATTGAACATAATGAACCAGCTCTAGCAGCAGACAGAAAGACATGGGGTACTGTGGGCCCCTTAGAAACACATGCTACTTTCTTTTGCTGCTGTGAAGTGCCCAGAAGAGGAGTCCTCTGACACTAAAGAGCTTGCAGTATCAAACAAGGCTTTGGGGGTGACTTAAGAGGTAAAAAGCTGCTGCTCAGTGAAATCCCCTCAGTTTTTTTCAAGCAGGAATAATTTTTGTACCTGCTTTGTAAACTCACCAATGTCTGGAACAAAATTCTGGAGCTTGTATTTAACTGGACAACCAGAATGTTTTGCCTGACAAATTCATATTGTCTTCCTACACTTCATAACCACCCTAAGGTAGTAAAAGAACATATATGCCATGTCTCTCTTCACCTATACCTGGTAGGGGTGAAGAGAGAAAAAACACACATATTTCACATATTTTGATACAGCAATCTAGGTTTGTGTTGCAATATATATAAAAGTAAATGATCAAACCTAGCTATCACATACATTTTGAACATAATCTGGTTGTTAAATGCCATTTGTCAACTTTCTGAGTTGTGCGAAACGCTCTGAACTGTCCAAATTTGGATGTCTTGCTTTTGTGCGTGTGTAAGCAAGACCACCCACCAGAGGGTGCCAGGAACACACGTGAGTGTCCTCAGCCGGTCGTGCGTGGACATGGAGGTTCACTAAGCAGGGCTGCAGCCAGCCTTTCCTTAGCATGCAGTCTTTCAGGGTCAGGAAGCCAACTCTTGAGACAAATGAAGAACAAAAAGGCAACGAAGTCAAAGACAATGCCCTAAAATAGGGCAGGCTGAACTGGACAAACCGAACTGAGCTTCTGCATGTAACATTTCTATGATACATAAATCTGACACAGAAGATTATTTTAAACCATTCAATTTGTATTTTGACTTTGTTGGACCCTTGAATATTTCAAGTTAATGCAGTAGTTGTTTTTTCTTTTTCTATTATTATTATTATTTCTTCTACTTTAGTTCCAGGGCCTGATATATATTTTTTCTCAGCTCCTCTAGTGTAAAACTGAAACAAGTCCATTCACCGTTACAGAGCTGCAACTGATGTATCCCAGAATGAGACTGGATTCGGGATCTGACTGCCAAATCTGTACACTGAAGACTGCTGACTATTGTTTTCTCTAATAAAAAAGTCAAAGTGAACAGATTAGGCATTAAGAGCAAGAAGCAAAACTAAGCATGAAATGCTAAGTATGGCTGGTCTCCAGCTTTTTAAATCAAGCCCTCCCCAGTGCACTTTATTCTTTTCTGTGAAGTGGGTGAAATATTTTAACAGGATTTCTGTCTCCTTTTCTCTTTCAAGCTTTCTGCCAATGTCTGAGGAAAGGTACTTCTTTTTAGCCTATGCAGAGAAACTGAATATCTCCACAGACAAAGCAAAGATAATGTTTTCACCATCAGCAGGTACATACACTAGCTTGCCAATAAGAGACTGAGTGCATGAAAACTCCACAGCTTTATGAGTTATGAGGCAACCTTAGGCAGCCTCCTTCACTGCAAAATTCTTCTGTTCTGAACTCCCAGACTGAGATGCTGATACTTTGCTTACCAAGAAATTCAAGTATTAAGAAAACATTTATCCAACCAAAGAGTCTGGACAATTCACACAAATATCACCCAAATTGTGGTCTTTCCTCAGATTTCACAGGATGAATAAAAGAAGGACACATATAATTGCAAACTTTCCTTATTTTAGCTCATCCACCAATATGTTGGATACACGCATGCTTACTGTTCCAGCTGTGTTGACTGAAGATGTTATTGTTACTAGCCCAATGTCAGCTGCACATATCACCCAAAATCACCAAGCCTGCAAATCTGCCAATCAAGGATCAAGTGTGATGAGACTCTGCTGTACTTCAGTCTGAATAAGCCAGCTGGCAGAGACACTACATTGAAATAGCTTCAGCATTTCTGGCTTATTTTGACTGGAAAAAACTAGGGAACACTTGTAAGAGTTATTTTGTTCAAACAGCAGTAGAAGTAGCTGGAGTCCTGATGAGCAGTTTAAGCTGGTCTGGCAGAGCAACTTCCAAGTTGAATCTAGGAAACTACATGAGTCGTGAGAGACAGAACTTGCAAAGTCTATTGGACAAATGCAGTCTTAATCTGGAGGACAGAAAAAAGAAAAAGAAGTCAATTTTTACAAAAAAAGCAAGTCCAGCATTTATTAGTCCTACATTTAATGCTGGGAAAAATAAATTAGTCTTTATTATTATGCTGCAGCTTCAGAGTTAAGATTAGATGATTTCTTTTTATGCTCGCTCTTGAACTCCTAGTACAGGTGAAAGAGTCAGGTTTCCCCTGGTCAAGGAGTTTCCAAGATCTAATAAAACCGAAGTCAGTTGGCCACTATGTATCAGTTCAAACTGCCAAGAAAAATGAGTATATTTCAGTTAAAAGAATAATTTCAGTGTTTGGATTAAGCAGGGAGTAGACTTCCTCAAGTTTGAGAAAAAAAGTCTCTAAAATAATTAGTTGTCATCCAGAAGTCAATATTGGATGTTTCATTAATAGTTTGCATAGGGGTTATAATTGACTTAAACCGATTCATTAATAAAGTCAGTAGTAAGTTCCTGATTCTTACTTGTTCTTAAATCCAGGAATATTATTTTAAAAAAAACCAGTTTCCCTCTTGATTACTGAAATGTTCAGTTTGTTTTCATGGATCTGCAGTGTGCTCATGTGATTACAGAAAAAGAAAACACCCCCACTTCTCCTTCTCCCCCCCAAAAAAAACCTGAAACCAAAAACCAAACATGACCCCAAATCCAAAAAACTAACCACCAATAAAAAACCCAATAAAATAAAATGTATATGTCAAGTTAATATTATTTTTGTGCCTATATAACCCAATCTGGATCTATTTGAACAATCAAATGACTATGAGGAGCCATTATTGTAGGATAGCATTGGAATGGTTGACCATGTGGTCTGCAGGACAAATACCGTATCTAAAAATGCCTAACATAATGTGAATTTCTGGGATTTATGATGTTATTTCTTCTTTGAGCATTTGTGTTTATTTCATTCTGCATGTAACATTACCCAGGTAATCTAAAATTATTGTCATAGGTTACTCTGTCACAATACATGTTCCAAATAACAGTAGGACAACTTTTACAACAAAAATTAAGCAAACACTTAAAGTACCATGTGTTTTAATCATGTCCACTCAGTCTTGTACTTTTATGCCATTTTACGTAGGATGTTTTTTTTTTTTTCATAGTGGATTATATCATAACTTTGGCACATGGAATAAAATCCATCAAAACTTTTCTTCAGCCTTAGAATGCTATGCTTTCCTACTTGCTAAGCATTTCCACAAAGAAAATGAACAAGCGCTTATATTTAGTGGAGGTGAAATATGAACAATTCCAGGACAAAGAATATACTTGTCTTTCAGGAAATACTCTAATGCCTTGTAGGAATACCCTTCAAACACTGTGGGAATCACTTCAACTCGTTGAGGACATGGCATATTTGGCTTCTAAAAGTAGACTGCAAGAATACATGTGAGTCAAAATCTGAGTTCTCTGACCCTGCTCTCTTATAACCTCATCAATTTGTTTCTATGTGAATGGGATCATATACACATAAGCTAACAAAAATTTTGGCCTCATCTTTAGACCAACCACAAGGTTCAAAATGGGGCTGCGAGAGGAGTAGATCAGTTAGAGAATTGGGAGTAAGGATCTTGCTTCAGTTCCCACCCACTGGAGCACATTTTCCATCTGATGTTGAGCAGATGCCTGAGGGATCAGGAAAGCTTTTACTATGCTGAGCAGGACCGTTAGCTGATGTTATGAGTCAAGCCTACAGCTTGCTGTAACTAAAATACACTCCAAACTTCCCTTGCCTTGGCCACAGCTCCCAACCCCTTGTCTCACGATGATCCTTAGTGCTTCTCACCCCACAGTGAGCTGTTGCGGGGAACAACACAGGAAAACAAGTACTGTCCTTTTTGCTAATGTAGGAAGGGTTCCTGCAGGGCCAGAGAAGTGTGGGTGCCTGCAAAGGGATACTGGGGGACAGGAGACAGAGGAGAGTTGACAGGACCAGCTTGTTCACAAGTTAACATGTTGGCTGGCATAGCCATCTTCTGATGGAACCCAGAGGCACAGAAGAAGAGCAACAGAGTTATGAATGTAGCATCTATTTTTCTACAGCCAATATGGAATAAATCCAGGTCTTTTCCCTTGTAAATCTTATGACTTCCATCATAAAACCTTTAAAAGATCTCAGCTTATTCCTCTGAAAGAACTGTGCTTGTTTGGAACATGGAAGTGACTTTCATTTCATCTCTGAGCCTATATCAGAGTTCTGTAGCTCCCCCAGCCCCTGATCTCAGGAGTTAGTTTTTGATTTCAAGATTCTTTCAGTGTTTCAAATAAACACACATTTAACAGCAAATTAGGGTAACCTTATTGAGTCCTTTTAAGGGCTGAGGAAATGCAATTCCCACAACTTCAAAATTATGGTTGAGCTAAATTTTAATTAACTTTTCCAGAATCAGTTCAAACAGAGTTTGTGAACATTTTTTAATTAGACCTAATATGAATATTTTTGCAAGTAGTGAAATTACATCTAGATCTGGATACTAAGTCATAATGCTATTCCTAAGTGAAATCTTAATGTAAAAGGGATTTTACTGAGCCACTGAGTTCCTCAACAGAATGTCAGTGATCCATGTAAGTTTCATTTGACAGAGATGGAAATCAACTTGAGAACAAAATAGAGCACATGTGAGTGAAAATTATATTGACCTTTTTTTATGCCAAAATTCAGAATCCCTAGTGATCAAAAGCTATGAATTTGATGATTAAATAGGAGCGCAAGTCCTTTGTGGAATTATTTTTAATTAAAAATGAGAAGGATACAGGCTGAGCACTAACTCAGAGTGGTCTAGGAAAACGTGATAGAGGTTTCTCTTGCACAGTAGTCAGCAAACTTTTGAGAGGCTGAACTTCAGAGCTGTTGAAGATGAATCAAAGAAAGACTTCAAAGTGAGAAGAGTATTAAGGAATCTCTACTGAGATCAGTACCTGAAACAATCTAAATGATGTTGTAACATCTTTCTTACTTGACTATGTACTCTCTGAGTTCCCTCTCTCCTTTACGGAATAGAAGCTGAATTTATATCTAAACCTGATTGTCCTGGGTTTAGCAGTCAGTTTTTCTCCTTCTTGGTAGCTGGTGCAGCGCTGTGTTTTGACTTTCAGCCTTAGAACAGTGCTGATAATACTGATGTTTTCGGTTGTTCTAAGTGATGTTTACCCTGACCAAGGACTTTGTGAGTCTCATGCTCTGCCAGGGAGGAGGGGAATCTGGGAGGAAGCAGAGACAGGACACCTGACCCAGGCTAGCCAAGGGGGTATTCCATACCACAGCACGTCATGCCCAGGGTGGGGGGTAACTGGGAGTTACCCGGAAGGACACAGGCTTCTGAGTGGGACTCGTTTCTTGGCCAGTGGTATTGTATTCTCTTCCTTTGTTATTTTCTCTTATCATTGTTG